ACAGACATAACTGCAGGAACCAGGACAAGGGTAAGGAAACAGTGAGGTAAAGGAAAAGAAATAACCTGAAGGAGAAGAATAGTAGGTAACAGGCCTTAATAAGGGAGATATGGATAAAAATTGGGTCTTTAGGCTGGAGAAATGGCTCAGTGGTTAAGAGCACTAACTGCTCTTGCAGAGGACCTGGTTCAATTCCCAGTACTCATATGGCGGCTAACAACCATCTGTAACTCTAGTTCCAGGGGATCTGACACCTTCTTCTGACCTCTGAGGGCACTGAACAACACAGGTACACTTACACACATGCAGGCAATATGCTCATATACATAAAATAAAAATAAATATTTTTAAAATTAAAAATATATTAAATGTCTAATCCCAGAACATATACTTAAGACTCAGCCTTATAAAGAGATTTCACCTGAATGATTTTATCCTGCTTTTTATTACAACTATTTTTACTTAGTTTAAATTCATCAATTATATAACCATACAAATAAGCAGTCTTTAACTTATTAACAACACGCATTTCAAAAACTCATTGTGGGCACCTATCACAGCTCACTTGCTAAGACCAGTAGAGCACACAACACTGAGAGTGAGCCCTAAAGAGCCTTGAATGTGCAGGCGTATCAAATATAACTCCCGAGCAGGATTGGGGAGGTAGGCGTGTGTACAGCTGCACTTGGGGGACAGCACAGTGGAACTCTGTACCTTTTATTCAATTGTGTTCTGAACTCAAATTTGTTAAGTCTATTTATTACAAAAGGCAAAACCACCAATCATAAAGATCTCTCAATAAAAGGCTCTACTTGGTAGTTCCTTAAGAAGCTAAACAGGGTGGGGAGGAATGGCTCAGTGGTGTTGCCAAGCCCAACAACCTGAGTTCAATCCATGGGACTCATATAAACTGTGCTCTGACCTTCACACCAGGACCATAATATTCTTACATGTGCTTTCATGCCCACACTCGCTCTGTCACATACAAAACAAACATTTAAATTAAAAAAAAAAAACCACTAAAAGGTATTGGGAGAAGAAAGGATACCAGCAAGAGATGGGGCAGAGGGATGGCAGAGAGGGTGAATCAGAGCAAGGTGGAAGGATGCATAAACACATATGTATGAGACTGCCTGCCGTAATAAAACCCAATACTTTGCATGCTAACTTAAAAATTAATTTAAAAATTTTATGGGCTAAACAGATTATATCATCATATCTACTTTTCATATATTTTTATAAGAGCTCAAAAGCTGAGGGACAGAGCACTTGCCTGGCACCCATAGATCCCTTGGTTTGATCTGCAGCACAGCAAACAATAACCAAACAAAACCACTTATCCCTTTTTCCTTTTCTCTTCCTCAAAACCCATTAAGTCTAAAGCCATTAAGTGAGACAAGGTAGGTGGTCTGTGTACTTGGGTAAGGAAAGTTGTTAACAAGGTAAAGAGAGTGACCACAAAGGGCTGCAAAAGGTGAAGGGATGCAGACAGGCCAAAGAAGGAAATAAAATAAAACATATTGAGTACAATGGACAGATTTCTTATTGTGGGAGAAAGGGGGTGCAGGTATGGAAGGGGAGAACATGAAAACAAATCCTTTGGTGTTGAACTAGAATCAAAGACATTGACAGGAACTCATGGCTCAAAAAGTACACACAAGTACGGCATGCCTACATATATTTTCTAGCTCTGTTCATCATGGGAACTAGGAATCTCGGTGGCAAAAGGCACACTTAAAAAATATTTTATTGCTTTAAAAAAACTTTTTTTATGCATATGAGTGTATGTATGTAAGTACACCCAAGTCATGCAATGCCTGTGGAGGTGAGAAGAGGGTGTCAGATCCCCTGTAACTGGAGTTACGAACAATTGTTAGCCACCGTGTGGGTGCTGGGAATTGAACCTGCAAGAGTAGCCAGTGCTCTTAACTGCTGAGCCATCTCTTCAGCCCAAGAGGCACATTTAACACCCAGATCACAGTCTCTAAGTGCCTTATTTCATAAAGTGAACAGAGTTCCCTAGAGAAATGGTTGGTAGAAAGGCTAGGGCAGACAAAAGACAAGATGGGGCAAGGAATATTATTATACTATTCCTAAAATTATATTATATTATATTATTCCTATAATCAGCCTAAAGATGGCCAAATCTGGGGCAACCTGAATATCAGCATGCTAATCATAATTCCCATCGAATGAAATTGAATCTGTGCATTAATTCTCATACCAAAAACTAATAAACTGGAAGTGTCATATGAGCAACATCTTGCCTAGGCATAGTGGTGCATGCCTATAACCCTAGCACTGGGGAAGCAGAGACAGGCATATTATCACAGGTTCAAGGTCAGCCTGGTCTACATAGTGAGAGCCTGTCTCAAACCTGCCCACGCCCTCCCCCCACAAAAAAGGAGGAGTTAAGTACTATTATAGTGCGTCCCCCAAATATTAACCGATAACAAAGAGAATGAATTGAGTAAAAAAAGGCCCAGAGAGTTGCCTTGTACCTTTTCACCACTTGACGTAGGTGGAAGTTGCCTTCGATGAAACAGAAGCTGGGCCTCAGCAGACATAGAAGGTGCCATTCCTTCGCTCGTTGACATCTGAACTCCAGAAATAAACTTTTTTGTTGTCTATAAATGAGCTAGATTGCAGAATTTTGTTATAGAACCCCACATGAATTAAAACAGAGTATGGGAATTTGATGTATCATATTCTCCGATTTTGTAGCATTATGTAGAAGAATGTCCTTGTTTATAAAAGGATTGCACCTTTAATCCCAGCATTTGAGAGGTAGAGACAGAAGATGATGAGTTCAAGACAATCGAAAGGGTGTGGTGGCACACGCCTTTAGTCCCAGCACTCGGGAGGCAGAGGCAGGCAGATCTCTGTGAGTTCAAAGCCAGCCTGGTCTACGTTGTGAGTTCAGGGCAGCTGGGACTACAGGGAGACCCTGTCTCAAAAAAAAAGAGTTCAAGACAATCTTGGGTTATATTGCGAGTTGGGAGTTTGAGGCCAGTCTGGGCTATCAACTCTGTCACAAGAAATAAACAACAAAAACCACATTAAAAGCCCAGCATGGTGGGGCATTCTTGGAATCCCAGTACCAGGGAGGCTCAGACTGAGGCTGAGATGAAGTGAATTCAAGGCGGCTGAGCTACATAGCGAGACTCTGTCTCAAACAAAATGAACAACAAACAAAAATAGAGGCTGGAGAGAGAGCTTGTTGGTAAAGTGCTTCCCATGCAAATGTATGAAACATGTCAATCTGAGTTCTATCCTCACCATCTACATAAAAAGTTTGCACGGTAAAAATAAATTAAAAATTAAAAAAAACTCAAGCAATGAAATAACCTCAGTGGAATAACATAAGAAACACAAAAATTAAGACAATACAAATTCTCCATAAAGTACTAATTCCTCAGTAATGACATCCAGGAGGAGTGAGTCAGAGAAATGCCAGAGAACTCAAAAGAATGATTATAATCATGTTCAAATAAGAGAAGAAAATGAGCTGATGGCGAACATGAGCAGATGACTCAAAAGAGGAAGCCACACAGGGTAACAAAGAGGAATTCAGTGGCGACAGAAACACTGACCAAAGACCGATCTTAAAAGCTGGAAATGAAACACACAGTGCATCGACTAAAAAGCTCTGTGGAAAGCCTCACTAACAGGACGGAGAGGACATAATTCCATTTGAGCTTGAAGACAAGGGGGAGGAATTGGAACAGTCAGAAAGGACAAAGATAAAATCAGGAGATGCCAATCCAGATGCAGGAGGCATTTGGACACCAAGCAGACAAGACCAGAGAACCTCCCCTAGCCATGGTAGAGTTACAACACTAAGTAGGGCTGGAGATTCACGGTGCTTGCTTCTTTTCCAAAGGACCAGGGTTTGGTACCTGGCACCCATATCAGGCAGCTCACATGTACCTCTAACTCCAGCTCTAGGGGATCTGAAACCTTCTTCTGGCCTCCATGAGCACCTACACACATGTGATATACATACACCACATAGACACACACATATAAATAAAAATACATCTTTTCTTTTTTTTTTTTCTTTTGGTCTTTTTGAGACAGTGTTTCCCTGTAGTCACAGCTGGCCTGGATTCGCTACGGAGACCAGGCTGGCCTTGAACTCACAGAGATCTGAGTGTCTCTGCCTCCTGAGTGCTGGGATTAAAGGTGTGTGGCACCATGCCCGGCAAAAAAATATATCTTTTAAAAAAGAAGCACTTAGGGGCTGAAGAGATAGCTCAGCAGTTAAGAGCACTGGATGCTCTTGCAGAGGACCCAGGTTCAGTTCCCGGCACCCACATGGTGGATAACAACTGTCCATAACTCCAGTTCCACAGGATCCAATGCCCTCTTTCTGACCTCCGAGGCACTGCACGACACAGGTGTACTTACATACATGCAGGCAATATACTCACACAATGAAAATAACAATATGTATATATATATTATATTTTATTATTTTTATTTTATGTGTATGAGTGTATTGCCTGCATGTATGTGAGTGCATCCGTGTCCTGCAATGCCGCGGAGGTCAGAAGAGGGCTTCAGATTCCCCTGGAACTGGAGTTCATAGCCGCCATGTGGGTGCTGGGAATCGAACCCAGGTCCTCTACAAGAGCAGTCAGTGCTCTTAACTGCTGAG